CAGTCACCTGATTACAGCAGAAGCCCTGGAAACCAGCTCATGTGACCCGCACATTCCACACGCTCAGATGGAGTGGAGCTTTTGGGACCTTGCGGAATTACTGGAATCACATGGAATATATTTAGCTGAGCAAGAAGGTGGAGGACGGTTAACCTAACTTAAGCACTAGATGGACTGATAATGCCACAGTAAGAATAAAATGGACCATTCTGGATGAAAGGGTAGGAACATGACACAAAGGTCATATTATCTTGCCCCCACCAAGAAACGCCTACTGCCTTTCTCACAGAAACGCTGTTCCTTTTCTTCAACATATTAACAGAGACCAATGAAAAGAAATAGGCTGCTTTGTGCCCATCAATAGAATCTATAGAGCATCTTTCCCCCCAGGGACTAATTCAGCTTTTGATTAAATCTTTCTGAGATTTAAATCACAATGTTACAAACCTCTAAGGAACTCCCCTATAAGTTGTGACCTTCTTTATTACTCTCTGCTGTTTAATAAAGTATGGAGATTGATTTATAATGGTGTATAAAGTGCTTGAAAACAAGAAATAGCAAAGAGAATTGCAAAATATAAGATTAATGTAAAGTTAAATATCACAAATAGTATGCTTTGGTTAAAATACTCTACAATTAATACTGAGTTATATGTAGCTACTAACACTAGTGTCAAATGAGTATAATAATGTTGTTAGGGCTGTAAATTATATCCAATGATTAGCTAAATAATGCTACAATGAATAGACAACTGGCTACACTGAAAAAGAATTTTGAACCAACATCATATTAAACACTTTAGACAGACTTAGTTTGGACGATTTGAATTGAAACAAAGTCCTTGTAAATAAATTTCTCATATCCAGTGTTCATTTATTTTTGCTAGCTTAATTCTGGTTTAAATAATTATTTTGTCATTAGTATCATCAAGGATGGAAGTGATTTAATGTTTGAGGAACATCAAATAAATCCTTTCTCTCTAATCAGAATGTCCCTGTACCAGGCCAGCAGCTGCTAATGCTGCTTCTTAAAAATCCCTCTTTACTCTCAAAAGGTTTTTAAGGCTAAAAAATTAACCCTTTAAAAAAAAAAAGACTTGCATTATCCTGACATCCTTGCTGGTTCCAGCCAAAAGGTTAAAATACCCTTTACGATTAAAGGGTTGGTGTCGACAAGGCCACATCTGAGGCTCATCCACTGAATCTCAGAGTGCTTAGTACCATGGTTTTAGGTGAATGCATTATTTAGGTAAGATAATGGCAATTTTTTTAAATTTTCTATTTTGATAAAATAAATGGAAAATCTTAAATGGTATAAAACAGAAATAGAACCACGAGAAGTGCTTCTTGTGTTATTTCAGAGATTCCAATATATGATGGATAGCTCTGTCACATTTCTAATAATTAAAAGCATGTTTTTCTCTAGGAGATGGAGGGGGCAGGGACTGGGATATATTTAGCCACCCTTTCCCAATCCTATGCCTCTGTTTGGTCTTGCAGTACAAGTTGCTGGGTGTGGGGATGACCATCAGAAATCTGGAGACGCCAGAGAGTTAACAGTGCATTCTTCGTCATCTCTGTCATTAGGACCATCGACCACCCACGTGGCTCAGTGGACACCCTGACAGCAAGCCGTGTTGGCAACTGTCGGCATGTCCCATATTTAACCTGATGATGGCTTCTGTGTTGTAGAGACTGCCTTCCCTTACAAATCTTCAAAAAGTATTCATTCCATCTACAGTAGAACAGCTTCCTTAGCTGAACATTTAGCAGGTTGCTCACTAGAGGCGATGGCTTGTACTTAAAATACACACTTTCCACGGGTACACAGAAAAACAGGGTTTGTCCGTGGGATTAAAGTCCCATGTCACTTCTCATTACAAAAATCACCTCTTCTTCCTTTGCCATTCTCAAAGAGACAAGGTAAAGTACAGAAGGAACGCATTACCTTGGAGCTGAAATCCACCCATGAATATGGAAAAGCAGGGAGAGAGAGAGAGAGATCCACGGGGAAAGAGAATGACAATGAGTGAACAATGTTTACTGACCTGAGAAATATGCCAGGAGTTTGGTTACGATAAATAAGAAAAGCAGAAGTAGATTTGAAACATTCGTTTCCCTTTATTAGCTCAGTGAGGCTGATGTGTACTGCACATTTTAAAAAAAATCACAGGAATTTTCATACAATGAATAAAACCACAACAATACATGTAGAATTGGCAGGTGGGGGGAAAAAAAAAAGCCCAGCAAGGGCTCGACTAGTCGCTCACTTTCCCTCTTCAGCATAGTTCAACCAACAGTATTACACTTTCACCTACAAATCTTAAAGTAGCTCCATCAAATCAGCAGTTCACATTATTGAAAATGTCTGTCACATAGGTACAAATTTAGAATCATCACATTATATTACATGGCTATTCTAGGTCATCTATAGATCAGGTCTTAGACTACAGTGATTGAAGTTCTCGTTACAGCCATCAAAAAAGGACACATAATCATTACCTACTGTAAGCTCACATCTAAAGGCATGAAAAGGTTTCCTTTTTTCAACTGACCCAACCATCATACCCCGGTAGTGCAAAGTTCCCTCTCTGCTGCTTTGAATGTTGACAGCCCAGCCGTTGCTCTCTCGGAGTCGTTTAGCAAAAATTGATTTTGTTGCACTGGAAGAATTATTCTGCTACATTTCTTTAAAAAAAACCCCACATTTCTAAAGCACCAGTTCGGTTACCAAAATTGTAGATGTGGTACTTACCACAGCATGAAGGCAATGGCCCGCGGTCATCTAAAAACCCTAGAGATCTATGCTGAAATTTGCCTCCCGTCATGATGGGGTGCATGTGTTCATTTGAAATATTCTCTCCAAAAAATTTAAAAAATAAAAATAAAAGGAATACAGTTTACATTTTGATGGGCTACCCACAGTGTCTGCATAAGACACAAAAGCTCTATTCAGATGGTTTAGTGATTCTCTCTTTGCACTAATTTTAGATGCAATTTGAAGTCCATGGGAGAAAAAAAAAAAAAAAGATCTTTATGGTAACAATATTTGTCAGGCCAGAGGGGGAATAAATTAATTCTCAACATGAAATCTGTAGTGCTGTCTTTTGATAAGTAAGAAAAGAAACCAAGTATTTTTACTCATGTCAACAAACCAGGGCAAAAAGGAGAATATATTCAAAATTGGATCACAAAAATTGAAAGGCAAAATAGAGAACACATCTGGTCCTTGAACACATAATATGATTTACTAAATATCGATTTCTTAAAAATAATTTATTGCTTTTAATAGTCTTTTGATTATTATTGTTCTACAACAGAAGATACTCAAAATTCAGAAAGAAAGACTGTAAACTTTAGTTTGGCATTCACACAGAGTTAAAATACCTGCATTTAACCTACAGAACAACAAGAATTAGGCGGATTAAAGATGTGTTACTCTTGTAACGCAGAACCTGTGAACAAGTTTATTTCATAGTATTTTTTTTTATTGCTTTCTATCTACTTAGAAAGAAGAAGCCCCAAAATCAAGCAAGCATCTGACAGGACAGACAGTGGATTCACTCAGAACACAATATGCTGGTGATAAATGAATGCAGCTATCAAAATGAGCTGCATTGGCCTGGGGGTGAAATCCATCGTCTAAGATTGTGTTGGGCGAGAGAAAGGAAAAGAACGATTAAGAAGTAGGACTACATGTCTTCCAGAAAAGTCACGTCAGCCAAACCGTGATCGGATCTCAATTTCGAAACTTGAATACACACTCCAAATGTTTTTCCATGCCGGGGGCTCCACACTCAGATGAAATCCTGATGCTCAAAATGGAGGTTTTTCGGAAGTTTTTTTTATTGAATTTAGCAGAAGCAATGTCATCGAGAACAACGCCATGGTCACACCAGAGGCCATGCTAGTGCAAGCAGAAACATTGCTCCTGCGAAAGCTGAGTTTCCCAAATGAAAAACGGAAACTCCACCCTGACAACTGCCATGCACCCTAGGCGGAAAATTTCCACTGGCTTTATTATGTTCGTCATCTCATAATTTATAATAAATAGGCTATCTGCAACTGATAAATATGTCTCTTTAGTAAACAAAGGAATGAGATAGCAGTATTTATACAGGATGCATAACTGTAAAAAATACAGATAAATACCGTCATCATACTCTGCCAAGGGAAAGAGATACTGGCTTCAAAGATAGTCTTCAGACACACATTAATTATTGTAAAAATCATACTGTAATTATTACCTCAGCATTTTGTATCAAATTAAAATCACAAAAATTAAAACGCAACAGCATTTTAAAAAGATTTTTGACCTCTAGTTTCAAAACTACTATTGATAGAGAAAATAAAAACATTTCTTAATGGTTACCCATTGAGACTTTACATAAAATCATGATATCGTCTAGAAAAATTTTAGATGAGAAAATTTCATTCCCCTAACAAATCCAGTGTATAAAACTTCAAAGAAAAACAAGCAACAAGAAAATGTGGAAAAATATCGCGGAAGTGGTTAATACCTTTAGGGGGCTAGGATATTTCTTGACAAGATGCTTAGATCAAAGCTCACCTAAGAAGGGATGGATGTGCGTAAAGCATCATTTTGTTGCTGCACTCAACAGACACACACACTGTCTTTTTTTTTGTACAATCAAATATATATAAGCAGTAAGTTCAGCTTCTAAATAGGTTAGTGTACAATAATTGTTTCACCTCATAATTACATTTGAATATTCTTGATTAAGAAAAATTTAGCAGTTTTGAAAAGAAGGCTGCATTTACAGTGCATAGCTGTAACAAAAAAAGAACATTCTTTTATAGTATGTACACAAAATAAAAATACTCCATTTAACATCTGTAAATACTTAACTACATCGGAGAATGTAGCAATTACACTATCTGAACACATCCCAGAGAGTTCTACCCAACTCTCATTCATCATGTAACACCGTGCTCGCTCCTCAGAAAGAACCATTGACCAAGCCACACGCTTGACCATGGACAAGGCTTTTGAAACTTGCAGTGGAAGATCAACATTTTGGACATTTACATGGGTGTCAGGATAAAGGACGAACGACAGCAACTTCAAAATGTTAGGAAAGCATAGCATTCCGGTGCCCGCAGTATCCTCTCCCACCCAGACTCCATGGCAGAAAGGAAAAAAAAAAAAAGAAAGAGAGAGAGAGACAGAGAGAGACAGAGAGAGAGAGAGAGAAAGGATATTAGTTCTACGGAACCTGTGGTTGCTTCGGGATTGTCATAGAATCATTACGTTATGAGAGGACGCTTGCTTCAAGTTGATTTTGTACTTTCTTAAAAAAACAAGAGTACGGAGGCTGATGCCCAGACATCAGCGGCTGTCATTTTAGGATGGTTTGTGGTTGGTTAGTTAGTTTTCTTTCCTTTTGAATTTATTCATTTTTTTTTTCCTTTTGAATAGAATACGAACATTTTGAAGTCCTAGGTTTTACGTGTGTCTTCTTGGAACTGCTGCCATTTGAAGCGGTTTGCCCTGGCACACTCTGGTCAGGAGCCCCCAGTCCCCACCTGGACATACACACTTCCCCAAACCAGGCACGCGTGTGCGCGCGCGCGCACACACACATACATGCGCACACACACACCATCACCGAGAGACTCCAGGGAAAGCAAAGCTGACACCCATGAATAAACATGTGCTTACTGGATATCCATTCTGTCTCTTGCCTCTTCAGCAGCTGTGTTCATGTAAACCATTGTTGTTGTTTTTGTGTTGCTGTTGTTTTGTTTTTGTTTTTGTACAGAGTGTAAAGTAGGAGAAATTCCTAAGTATGACTTGCAATAGTCTGATAGGGAAGGACGCGCTGTCCCGTGAGGTATTCACCGTCCCTCTGTCATCCTCAGCCAGGGAACATGTTACCTGCGCAAGCTTCTCTGAGCTTCTTTCAGTAAACTATCAAAATCCAGAGAGTCATACTTGCTCTTGGTGGAAGCAGGGTCAAAGTCATCTGAGTTCGAATCTGAAAGAAACCCAAGCCTGGTTAGATGCACCCTTGCTGATGGTCCTTAACTCAATCTTCTCATTCACGATGACCCAATTTCCAATTGAAGAGCAACTTATCGAATCAATATACTTTCAAAAAACATGCCCAACTTCTATTGGTATATATATACATATGGTAAGGAGTGGTGAGCATCCAAAACCCTCAGTTATCGACTCATTTTAGATTTAAACACATCTGGAAGGTAATTAGAAAAGACTTCAAATATCTCTATTCAATCACAACTTATCCAGTCAATATGCTTTCAAAATAAGCCGCCACTCTTCTTACCGAAGGTCCTCAACAACTTAGATGGAAAGACAGGAGTAGAAGCTGGAACTAACTTTCCCATTCAACAGAACTGATTTCATTGAGCACAAAATCCAGTTGTGTGGGTGAGAGAGAATCAGAACTTCACCCACTCCCCACCCAGCTGCTCTTTGAAGCAGGAGAGATATATGACCCAGGGATCTATTCTGTACCTTCAGGTATCCCAGCAATAGTGGCACAAATTTCCCCAAATTAGAAGGGTTAGGGAAATGCTTCATGTCCAGACAGGGTAAATTCGGTCTCTTTATAATTAATAGGAGACAGGAAATGTGCGGGTATGAATAAAGCCATGGTTTTTCTTGGACCCTTAAACTAGCCCAAGTCAGCTTTTGTGCAAAGTCTCACATGCTACTTCAAAGAGTGAACCCTTAACAAAATCAATGTCTTTCAGCAATGCTGAATGTAAGGTAAAAATCTGTTAACTATTTCTGATTTTCCCCATTGACATCTATCTCTAAAAATGTCAGATATTTGTAAGTCTTGTAAGTGAGAAAGAATATCTTGGAAATACAACAGAAAACCTACTACAAATACATTCATTCTTTGAGAGCACTTGTTCTGAAGGGAAAAAATATTTTCCCAAGGATATTAACAATCCTACTAAAATATGAACATTCCCATTTTCAGACTAAGCTCCAAAAATGAAGTGCTCAAAATGACAGAAGAGTCTAAGACTAGATCATGCGGAGACATAATTGTTGACCTCACAAGATGTTTTGCTGAAAAGGTTGTAATCCCTCAAGCTCTGCAGCACCAGACCACCTTTTTTTTTTTTTTATTTTTATTTTTTTACCACTTGCTACAATCTCCTTCAACCATCTTCACTTTCAAAACAAAGAAATTATGGCACTTTTTTTTTCTCTTTCATTCTCACCATTCTTTGTCTTTACTAAATTTTTGGCAGGCAACTTTTTCCAGGTAAGGACAACAACAGAACAACAACAATTAAAGTCAGCCCCGGACATAAAAGTAAGGACAAAAATGGCCAATCCTTCCTTACTAACATCTTAAATGGTTAATTCTTCAATTACAGTGGCTCCCCACCCTTCTCTTCATAGCCTAATGAATAGGATGTTTGTATCACTAAAACCTCACCAGCAGCTGTTGTTCAAGTCAAAATCTTATTTTGTAGAAACAAAGAAGAAGGAGAAGGAGAAGGAAGAGAGGGGGAGGAGGAGGGAGGTAAGAGGAGAGGAGGAAGGGGAGGAGAGAAGGAGGGGGAGGAAAGAAAGTCTCGCTCTTTGCCAGGAATCAGCCTAAAATCAGAGTTCTCCTGCACTGTGGAGGAAGGGGAGAGAGTCTCCTGAGGCTGGGAGTCAGCATGACATCAAGGCTGGCACAGACCCATCAGAAACACACGTGCATATCTTTTCGTGGAGGAAAATTTGAGAATGATTGCAATGTTTTAACTTGGGATTATTCTGCATGCAACCCAACATTTCAGTGTTTCTGTATTTTTATTAGCAAATACTAAAAATATTTTAAAACAGTAGTTCTCAAGAGTTTTTTTTTCACTGTGAAATATGAAGGCTGGTATTTATATATATATATACCCACTTATATGAGCATACTGTATCACACAGTAGGCACCCCAAAATCTTTTTTTTGGTTACATGCACTTCTTAAGGCAGTAACACCTATTCTACCTCCTTTTTCTACACTAAAGGAAAGATACCGCAACTCAAGTAAAATATAACAAAAAGTTTGATAGGAATAATCTAAAAGCCACTTTAATTTCTTTTTAAAATAAATTGTTACAAATGACATTGTATAAATAGAAACAAATCACATTACAACTGTATTCCTGGCACATAGAAAACTGTTGGCACGAAGTAGGTACTAAAATTAATACTTGTTAAATGAATATGTTCATCTTAACCACCAGCATATTACTAAAACTATGGTTGAAAATATTTGTATTGGGATCTGGGAATGATTTACCAATAAATGGCAAGGGTTTATGAAAAGTTATGTATATATTCAAGATGCTGATAATGTATTACATTTGTCTTAGTCAATAAAAGCTTGTGAAATATTTTCTTTATTTCATTTTTTTCCTTATATGTTAAAGTCCTACACCATAATTAATTCATGAGTGAAATTATTTTATTATTTGTACTTGCCCATCTTCCTGCTCTGGTCAGATAGTCTTCATTTAATTTGTATCCTTCCTCTTTAATATTTTTTATCAAGATCTTTCAGAACCATCCTTTTTTTTTAAAAAAATAAGACAGTAAATAGAGAGACAGACAGATTACAGATTCATAGAAACCAGACTTAAATCCTGGCATCACCATTGTACCCTTGCTTGTCTCTTTAAATTCTGAGTCTCATAAAACTGACTCATAAATCATAATTAGAATCATTATGACTTGCACTAACAAGGTGGTAGTGGCCAAAAGTGGCCTCAATAGTATTGAAAAAGGATGTGCAAGCTAAATTAATTGGGGGGAGAAAAAAACACAGAAAAAAATTGGTTAAATCTCTCTAAGATGATCGGTCACTTTACTCTTGGTGAAGTGCATCTGTATCACACCATTTTCATTTTACACCTGACACACATGACCACTCAGTCCCTCTGTGCAGTATATGCTTCTGTTCACCATATTCAGTGGCCATGCCCTGATGCATTTAAGTCAAATTCTTCAAGAGACAAAGACAAGACACATGTGAATATTGTTTGCTTCCAAAGCTGGACACTGATGCTGATGCTTCCATTTTAAAATAACTTGAAATGTATAACTTCTCACTACCATGATTTTTAATTATAATCATAGCCACTCTTTATCGAGCAACTATTTTCTGCCAGACACAGTTAACAGCTTCACAAACATTAACTTAGTCTTCACAACAGCGTTATGAGTTATTTTACCAATGAAGAACCAGAAGCACAGAGTTTAATTGTTTGCTTAAGGTCAGAAGCTAAGCCCAGTTTCAAACCCAGGTGGGCAGGATTCCGAAAGTCTGCAGGCCTCTCGACTATACCACGCTTACGCTCAGGTCGATCATGCTTCGTGCAATTGTAGGGCTTGAGGGAACTGGAAAAACCCATGCTACTACAATGAACATCAAACACACTTTTCAGAAAACACGGAGCTACCTTAGCAACGGCAAAGTTTCATTGCTGCTGGCGAGGCGGCGAGATAACGAGAGGGGAAGCATTCCTCTTAGAAATATTTCAGGGAGGCTCTAGTTCAATTTGGAAATACCATTCAATCCTCCCTCTCCCAGTGATGAATCGTGATCTAAAGGCCCCTCTAGGTAGCTTATTTTAAACTCTAGATGTTTTGAGAGACTAGAAACACCCTGGCCTTCATCACTGAGGAAAATAAGTCAAATCAACTCAAGACTTCAATCTGTCTTGACTGTTTTTATCAGCCAGCATTTGAACAAATAAATGACTTGCCACCGTTTATATTTTCATCCCTAGACCTCTATCTCTCTAACAGTAAGCTAACTCTCCCCTGCTTCATCCTATCTTTTTAGCTCTTGAAGTGAATTATAGCATATTCCCCCTGAACAATGCACACTACCTATATCAATTACTCTAGGGAGACATCACTCTGGTGGAAGGGAGGAAAAAAATCCCCTGTATTTGGTTTGCATTTCTTTCTTTATACCAAGCCAAAGCAAGTGCAGACAGAAATATACTAATTTTTATATAATAGAACAAAAAGCTTAGGAATAGATGTATATGTTAAGTTTATGATTAGTAGTATAATTGATTTTAAATAATTATGTCATGTGCATGAGACATTTGCCACTTTCTTTTAAAGAATGTAAAGTCTTACATGCACTAGATAGGAAATCACATGCAAAGGAACAAAATTAAAGTTGGAACGGAAATTAAGATGTCCATTGTGGTGTTATTTATGATATTAAAGAACTAAAAATTGAATCAATGTTTAGCTATAATGGAATGATTAAATATAACATTTTTCACTGAACAAAATACTGAGTAGCCATTAAAATGTGTTGAAAAATTATTTTTAATCCTGTGAGTACAGTAGAAAATGTGCGTTTATAATATTAATTGAGATAAGTAGAATTTAAAGTAAATATTTGTACAGATGACCTTAACTATAAGAAATTAGACATTCTGAGACAAAAAATACTGGAATGTAAATCACACAGTAGGTGATAGTGGTTATCTCTAGGTGCCAGGCTGATAGACGATTTTCCTGTTTTTCTTAACATTTAAAAAATATTTTCTGAATTTTACCCCTTGAGTCTGTACACCTTTTGTAACAGGAAAAAAAATTCAAGACTGATGTATGTTTCAGTTTCCTTATCTGTAAAATGGAGCTATCAATAATAATATCTATCTCCTATAATTGTTCTAGCAATTAAATGAGGAAATGCTTGCAAAATCCCTCTCACAGTGTCTAGCATACGGAACCAGTCAAATAGTAACATTTTCTCTTATTCGTTTTAAGAAAATATAGTGTTATTTAGCATATAAAATTTTATTTTCTCCTCTTCAGGTGTAATTTGTAGATAACGCTACCATTTCTAAGGCTTTGTGACATGATAAGGAAAAAGAACAAGACTTTTGCATATTCTGTTTGCTAAAACAATGATGGCAATGCTGGACAACAAGATCCAGAGTTGGAAACAGAAAGCAACAGCAGATTACACACGTTTACGGAGACACACACACAATATAAACATGTGCAGACATACACTATACCCCACACATACACCCAACACATACACAAGCAAAACCTGGCATACCCCATACAGACACATAAACAGTGCAGAATTCAGTATTGAGGAAGAGGCTACAACAGATTTGTTTCTGCCTTTTGCTGCCAAAACCGACACCCCTTACCTTCTGAAACTGTCTCATGCGTTAAAAATTAAATAATAAGATAAATTTTGTATTCAAATATTCCCTTTAGTAAAATAATGGTTCAACCCTCTGTGCCTACAGTTTACATTTACTTCCACTTTGAGCTCTGCATTATGGATTCTTCATTCCACATACAATAAAATCCATACCTAGGTCTGCATAGTTAGACTTGAAAAATTGCTTGCGTCCACAAAAGTACAGCTCGAAGTCAGTTTCATTCGACCTGCGCAAAGTGTATCCATTTTCAAGAGCAGCAAAAGCATCACAGGTATAACGGTAGGTAATGAAACCATAGCTGTCTCTGCAATGGACAAAGAGAAGTTCAAAGCCAGTGAGGAAGCATTAGCATATATGGCTAGAACCCTTTCTACTTTGGGAGACTTTGCTGGTGCCAATGTCTGAACCACTGCATCCATTTATCAGTGTGATTGTCCTGTCAAGCAGCTAAATACTTATTTCTGGGACAGAAAATCTCAACTAGAAAGATTAATAAATAGGGATGAAAGAAAATAAATAAGGTTCTGAACTCAACATGTCATCTGTCAAAGCATCCCCCATCCTGGTAATCTTATGGCCATAATTTTTTACATATGTCAGCTTCTAAACAAGAAATAATCTTGAAGATTCTCACCCATCATCCCGCAGATTTACTGTGCACTCCTCAATTTCACCAAAAACTTCAAAACGGTCCCTCAGTTCTGTCCGTGTTGTGTCAGGTCTGATTTTGCCAACATAAATCACACGGCGTTCTTCCTGGGGGCCGGGGGGAAGTAAAGAGAGACTTGCTAGTTCTGGAGCTAAGAAAGAAGTTGGACCCCTAGAAACACTGATAAAGGTACAATCATGCATAAGAAGAACCCACAAAGCATGCCAGTTAAAGCAAAACATACAGTGAAACCGAATGAAAGGCTACACTGGAACCAAGGTTTGATTTCCATTTCATCAATAATATTCTCTTCCCTTACACACTCTCTCTTGGGCACCTCATTCACTTCTACATTTTTTTCCATCTCTGTACTTCAGTCACATGAACATTTACATGTTAGAAAAGAAATATGTGTAATGTGATCATTTTATCACGGAATAACTAAAGAAAAATACCTATTAAATATTTTATTATTAATCATCAAAATTGGTAAGAGAGTGACTTGGCTTGCAAAACTGTCTAATTTCTTATTAACTCAGAATTCTAATAAGTAGATGTACTTTTTTTTCCAGTTTTATTAAGAAATAATTGACATAATCACTGTATAGGTTTAAGGCACAGTATGATGATTTGAGGCACAACTTTTGACATAGCTCAAAAGAGAAATTCTTAAACTCTAGTATAAGTAAATATTGCCTGAAATGCTTATTAAAAATGCAAATTGTTAGGATTTATACCAGCTGTACTAAAAAATATTTGAAAGATAAGACTCAACAGTCTTCGTTTTTAACAAGCACATCCAAGTAATTGTGATGCAGGTAGTCCAAAGACAATAATTTGAAAAACAGTCTTAAAATATAGACTAGTTTAAGCCATGGGTCTCCAAAGACTAAGAGCTATAAAAAAGGTTATAAATTTCACTTTGCCAATGAAACTTATTTTAGACACAGACTGGAAGGGTGTGGCCTAATTTCACCAGTGGTGTCAATATCATCATAATCAGCAATTTACAACCTTCAAAATACAGGAAGAATATTTTGTAGCCTGAGGATGTGTTTATTTAAAAAAAAGAAAAAGCAGAATTGCATTCTTAATGTAAGAAGCAATCCTATAAATCTTGTTCTAAAAAGACAAGCCAAAGGCGATGATGTCTCTCAAAAGTGAGAAAAGGCAAGAATGGAAGGAGTTAATATAAAGAAAGTGCTTACCAACTAGGCTACACATCTATCAAGGACTAACAAGAATGGAATGAACTTCAGGATGCTGAGATTTAAGTTAGATGGGAGCAAAGACCAGGAAGCACAGGACTAAGGTACAGATTTCGCTTGCCTAAGAGTTTTCTCTGGATGTACTGAGAGTATCCTGTCTTGGATGATGTGAAAAGTAATTTAGGCCTAAGGCAAAGAGATGTGTTATTTACTGGATGTCCTTCCTTTTCATGTGCCCAGTATTTAGCAAAGTACCTGGCAAAGGCTGGGCGCTCAGTAAGGGCTTGTGAAATATAACTGAACAATTCAAAGACTCTACAATAGATATTATCCTAGGTGATCTAATCATTCATGTTTCATCTTCTTTTACCTTTATGCAATCCTCCTATTTCTGTTTTCATCAGGGGAGTTCCTCTTAGCTTCAAACGCAAATAACCATCTATTTCACATCTCAGTTTAGGTGTTTCTCTGCATCTCAAACTACACCAGCATTACCCAAAACAAACTCCCCAGTTCCATCCTCTCCCTGGTGGGTCTTTCTCCAGTGCTCTGTATCAGTGAAGTTAACATCATCTAACCAGTTATTCAGGACAAAACCTAAGTGCTTTCCCCTACATCTAATCATTCATTGAGTCCTGTTGATTTCTACCTTCTAAATCTCTCTCTAGTCCAGCTCCTTTATTATATCTCCCCCAAACCAACCTGACAGCATGTCTTTCTGGACTAGCATAACAGCCTCTTAACTTGAGCTCTGTGTCTGTTTCTCCTCCTCGAATCCATTCTTTAACCCAGGCCAGAGTAGTCTTTGTTAAGGGAACAGGAATCCGATCACACCACTTACTATCTGACACATTCTGATGGCTTCTCCTAACTTCTAAGGCACACTGTAAATCATTAACAGGACCTACAGGGCCTGTCACAGTCTGGACCTGTGGTCATCATGGGCTTTTTCTCCACACATCACATTCTTTCCTTTCCTTTATTTTCCGGCCACATTGAGCTTCTATCAGTCCTTAGTATATACTGTGTTCCTTCCTTTCCCAGGGCCTTGGAGGAAGCTGTTCGCCTGCTACGTGGTACACCCTTGCTACGCTGCCTCTCCCCATCTCCACCAACATACATAGATTGCCTAGAGTTACATTAAACTCAACAATCATTTCTTTTCAGAGACTCAAAAGGCAGTCAGGATTCCTATTAGTTGCTCTTAAAGAACACTCTATTTATCGTTTGTAGGTTTATGCCCAATTGTAATTAAATAATTAATAGTTCATTCATTGTTTAATGTCTATCACCCCCTATAACAAAAGCTTCTTGAAAACAGAGACCAAATCTGTCTTATTGACTACTATGTTTTAAGGGTACCTGAAAGACAAACTCTCAATAAATATTTGTTGAAAAAAATTGATCACTAGTCAATTAATTATTTTTAATACACCATACCCTTCATTACATCAAAGATGCCTAAGTGTATACTCAGATAATTGAGAAAGAAAGCCAGGTTTAGGGCTCTATCATAGGAAAAAACTTGCCTAGGTAGCTCAGCTGAGTGAATTAACAAAAGGTTTTCATGATTTGTTTTTACAGGTTTAAGTGTTAGAAGTGTGGAGTAGCTACAAGTTTACAGGACTCTCACTCTTAGAAATTACCCCTGAGACCCAGAGGTGGGGCTCCGCTGAAACAGTTGGTAAAACACAAGTCCCCTGACATCAGCGACTGAGCCTTAATAACTGACCAGATGATGTACAGCAAACAGAGCAGGCTGCTTGATTGACTTCCATGTAGATTGTATGTCTCAATTGAAGGCTGTAATTGTGTTGCTCCAGAGCACCCAGCACATTCAGGTGGTCAATAAATATAAATGGATAGTCAAGCTCATCCTGGGGCAGTGTTATATACACTTGAGCATCGGAATCATAACATCACATTCCGTTCTATTTACGCAGCCAACTCTAGCCAAACAGCCGAATGTGATGGGACTGCTATCTAAACTTCCTGGCGCCTGCTTGCATGGGGGGTTATGGATATCTTTTTATGAGCCTTTTTAGGAAGGTTACTACTTTATAGAGGAAAAGGAGGGGGCAATGCAGAAGAGAGAGAAAGAAATTGAACCATCACAAGGAAATTGTTCAACTACCATTGTGGGAATACACACAGCTTACGTATTGAAGTAACTTTGAAGTTAAAGTTAAAATCTACCATATGCACGTCCATATGCAGACATATTGGGACAGTCTCTGAATTGCTTCTTTATATGAAGCTGTATGCAACAATGATCCAACAAAGGAGATAAACCAGAGGACCTTTTATATCAGATACTAATACATTCTGCAGTAAAAAAGAAGACACAGCCTAGATGAGAGGAACAGAAATCCAAAGGGCTGTGCACAGTCGCTTAAACCACCTATTTGTCTATCATCTCCTTTTATAAAACAGGACTGGGGCCCTGTCTTGGTACCTTACAAAGACCAGAGATTGAAGACATGTTAAAATTATCATTTGAGAAAATGATTAGAGTGTTCGGTTTTCCCCGTGCTAAAAATGAAACTAAAAGGCATCTGAAGGTCTAAAAATCAAAGACAAAAAGTCTCTCCAAGATTGGCCAAAATGTATAGCAGAGAACTGATTATTTTTAACATGTTGCAGTTTTATTAGACAGATGAATAGATTCCATATCTTTAAAAAACCTTAACATTTGCAGCCAATTTTTCAAGACATTAATTTCTAAACAGGAGATGAAAGGAAAAGAAATCAAAATGCTTAATAACATTTCCAACTTCTTAAAGGCTTGGAGGAACTCTAAACCTTTGGCAAAAGCTTTTGAAAAATTATTTTCAGACCAGTTTTCACTATTGAGGAGGATGGAACATTTATCAAGTATCTTTTAGCTTCAATTTTCACAAAAGCTAGTTTGCTGATGGGATAGATAATAAAATTGAAGGTTTATGTTGCATTAACAGGTGTGGTAAATCCTCATTATATCAAAACACAGGGGATAAATAAAGGAAAAAAAAATGACTGAATTAACTGACTTTGCATTATCAAAATATTTATCAAAAAGTGTAAAGAGCCTCCCAAGTTAGCTGAAGAAAACACCATGTTTCTCATCAAATAGTAAGCCTGGTAAAAAGGGGTTTGACTGAGAATAAAAAATGAAATTAATAAGGAAATTAACATTTATTGCCTAAAATATAACAGTTACTATGGTTAATGTTTTTTATGTGTTATCTCACCAAAATGCTGGGTAATAACAAGGGATAGCCTGATGGAATTTGTATTGTTAGAACTTTTATTCTACATTTCCAAATTAGAATAATTTTTAAAAGCATCCTCCTATGCTAAGGAAACTGCATGTCAACTTTGGCAATAAAAGATTTGTGCACATTTTCAGATTAGCTACAACTTGACTTCTTCAAGGGTAGGCAGAGACAAATGTATTTGAAAAAATAAATTTATTAAAAAAATTCCAAGTATACTACAAATACTATAGATGAGATGAATGAATAGATCCCATGCAATTTCTATAGTGAATGGTGAAAGTCCTCTATTGTACGAATAAACTAAGGGGGGTGGGTGGCCATAAAAAGATGTGAATGGACAGAAAGAAATGCAAAAACTCTCAAAAATCCAAAAACAAAAGGATATTTTTCTCTTGCCTTTAATATTGATTACACTCATTTAATCTAGTAGTCATTCAATAGGTTCCTACTACTATGGGTCACTTTAGGGAGGAAACAAAACTATAGCACTCAATTTTCCATAGTTACCCCCATCCCCATAATGCTTAGAAATGTTCTTCCTTAGTGTCTAAGGTTGGATAAATGTGAATAAATACAAGTCAGTCTACTTAATAGACAATAAGCAAGTAAGAGCTAAAATGCAAGTAAACCCAGTGATATGTCAGGAAACATGAAAACTATAGACTGAAGGTATACATAACTACTTTTTGATTAAACTGCTAGTTTCTTAAGTAGTGAGCTCAGAGCTCAGCCTAAGATATATTGACTCACACAAAATAGCTCTTTAAAAAAGGCTTGAATAGAAAACTACTTAATTTTCTACAAAAAGAATAACTATGAGAAATCACACAATTTTTTGGTTCATTTGGAAGAAGCTGATCATTATCCGTGATGACACACTGTTCCTGGCTGCTGGGCTGCACACTAACCAACCCAATGGGGGAGAAGAGGAATAAAATGCCGCCATCATTGCCCAAGCACATCTGGTTTTGGTTCTGAGCACTGAGCCATATCATAATGTCTAGAGTTTCCCTTCTAATTAACACCCCATTATCATGTTTTCTGTCAGGAAACTTTAAGATTGCAAATGGAGTTGGACTTAGAAGTCCACAAGAAACCAGAGCAGTGATAATTTAGATGTTAAGTACTAAACTCTGGCCTGTACAGCTCTGGTATAACCTGAATTATTTCAAGCCTATGAGACCAAGAAAGGCAGAGGGTGAATTGGTTTTTGAGAAAGAGTTCAGATGGAAATGGGAGGAGAGTAGCAACTGAAACAAGAGCAATATTCAACCACAATGAATGATTCTGGGTTGTTAATTACTAATCACTGCTCTTCTCTGAACTCTCTTATTTGGTACACTCAAGTTGATTTGGATAGAGACTTTCAGAGGCATTAATTATGAAAACTTTTTAGACCTTCCAAACCATCTCCTATGGAGCTCAAAACAGAAGTAATATAGACCATAAAACAAGGGTAGCAAAACTACTTTAATTTTGTAAATTATCAATTATTATATAATTTTAATATATTTTTTTATTTCCTTATGGAGCTTCTGCTTTGTTAGTCTCCTAATTATATGACTAATCTGAATTAAGGCATAATCCAGCACTGCACCCCAAGTGTTACAAATATAATTTGCCACCTATTCATTGCTTTAAGAGCATCTCAAAAACATGAATGGAAATCACCTACCTGACCAACCTGGGAAGACTCTTCTAGTTCTTATAGCTGTTTCATGAATGACTTTTCAAGCTAATCTAGCCAAATGAATCTAAAATCATTGCATGTATCTCTGTGCCTAAGTTCATAAAAATAAACTTCGCAAAATGCATTTTGGCATAAGAAGGCAGATCATTCTGAGGAAGGAAATCAATCAAAAAATCTTCCTGTGGGTAAACTCATTAAATAGTTCCACTAAGCCTCCAAGACAGACTTCAAAATCTATATCGTGACTCACAGGACCCTTCAAAGAGCTGGCTTTCCTGGAGCCCTCCAGACTTATTTCTTGCTGCTCCCATACTTCAGTATTCTAGTTAAATGACTAGCAGTTTCTCAATCTACCTTGTTTTTTCATCCAGAGACTTAGTACGAGCTATAGCTTCTGCATAGAATAGCGATGTCCAAGAAAAACATAATGCAGTTTATATAATTTAAAAGTTTTTAGGAGGTATATTTTAAAAGTAAAAAAGAACCAGAAAATTAATTCTAATGCTGTATTTGATTTAGCTCAATATATCTAAAGTACAATTTCAACCTGTCACTGATATAAAATATATTAATAAAGTATTTTACACTCTTTTTTTTGTACGGTCTTCAAAATCCAATCACACTTGCAGCACATCTGAATTTGGAACCAGCTGAACTAGCCACTCTGCTAATGGCTACCACATTGGAGAGGAGAGGTTTAGAAAACTTTTGTCTTCCACTCCTTTTGGTCTCAGAACAATCTCACTGTCTTCAGGAATAGCCTCCCTCATCCCAAGATCTGGGTGCCCACCAAAACGCCTTAGATGTATCTTCTACAATAGCACTTAACAAACCCTGTTGCCGGGTTAGCTTTATATCCCAGTAGACTCGTAGCTCCCTAGTTGTAGGGGAACAGGCCTCACCTAATTTTATGTCCCAAGCACCTAGCAAATGTTTGTACATATAGAGGCATGAGTTTTCACTGATGTTAAGCAGAAATCACATATAATTGTTGAAGTGGGCATTGATTTAACAATAAGTTCCAAATCTTTATATTAAGCTCTTACTACTTCTAGGTCACTGTGTTAGTAAACAATCTCTAGGTCATAGTTCTTTTTTTTTCAATCTGCTCTTCAAAAACAGAAAAACTTAATGTCAAAATTCTCACAAATGCTTAGTTATTTTATAATAATTTCATATAAGCCAAGGTGCATTTGGACTCTATAAGCCACCTTTCAAAGAGAACTGATGCAAGATTGTCCTAGTCAAAGGTTTAACTAAGGAATGGTCAACATTTGAGACACAAGGAGAAGTCAGGGTAGTATCCGCTTCCAAGCTGAGGCTGATGAGCTCAAGAGTGCTTTTAGCTCAGGCATCAGCTAGTGATCTATCTGCAAAGAGCCAAATTAGCAAAAAGGCATCTCCCTCCCTTTCTTGACTTTAGTTGAGTGTCTGACCCTAAATTATCTTTGGAAGGAATAAAATAAGCAGTTCATTATCTATAGTTGTTTACAAAGCTTTGGTAATAGCAATGGTGTATTTTTCCCAAATGAACAAATATATTAAGAAATAATTAACCTTTTTCTTTAATGGCACATTTCTGGGAAAAAACATGGAAGATTTTATAAAATATGAATTTGCAAACATTGAAGTAACTATTTTTCCGACATGCTTAAGCAACATGTAAAGATTAACTCTTTTATAAAGATTAACTGTAATGTGCCATATTAAAAGTCTTTGTAAACTACATGGCACTATATAAATGCGAGTTATTATAATTATTGAATAGGCTATTAATTAAAAATAATAAAATTAGAAATATTGAATTTTTAACTTTCATTAGTCTTCTTAAGTGTTAACTAATGACACTCTGTCAGAGCTTAGTATCACAGCTCATTTGAAAGTTGAGAAAAAAATGAGGAAAATTGTAATTTGCAAAAGGCCCATGATTCAGTCTTAGGTACATTCAAAGTTAAGTGACGATGAACACCCTAGACCTTTAGCCCAAGTATTCAATTATTTCTCTCTTCTTTCTCCTTTAGTGTCTATGATTAACAGACATCTCGGTTAACTTTTCTCCTCCAGCTGATCACTGTTGGCCAGTGCTTTATTTTGACTTTATTAGTCAGCTCTCTGTTGTATGTTTTACAAGATTTTTTTGAAGGTAGTGGGCTTTTTTAAAGGAAACATATACATCTAACCTTTAAAATTTCTTTCTCTAAGTCTTGGTTTGCTCATATGCAAGATTTGTCAAAAGCTGATGTTCACACAAATGAATCTCAGCAGTTAGCACAGACAGGCAGCGGCTGCAATGAGCAAAAGCAGTACCATTACTAATCGATTAGCCATGGCTCCTTGGAGCACCCTGTCGGGAAACACCCTGAGACTCTACGGAGGCTTGGTGGAAGAGTGCCATAATTGATTAGGAATGTCTGCCATGGGCAAGCACTAGATGCCAACAACTGGAGTGCCTCATATTTGCCTTCCAAGGTGTAGGCTGACAAACAATGGGTGGGAGCCAGGTAAAGTCTACCCATTAGTAAGCAGCTGCTGAAAAAGTACTGACTTACAAAGAAAAAATTAGTTTTAACATAACCTGAATCTTTCCACCGAAAGGTCAGTACTGTCTATATGTCAAGTGAATGTAATACCCTGCTATAAGTGGTGCCAAAATACATAATGGATTATTGACAAGTACTTCCTAAGAAATGTGATGCGTCAACTGCTCGGTTAGGTGTTGACCCAGCACAAGTAAGAAATGATGACTTCCTTAGCAAATCTTCCTCTACTGACTCCTTTAAATGTAATTTGGACCCAGTTTCTTCATGAACAATCCAATCCTCACATCTGCCAAAAAGACGGAACCATTTTCCACTCAGAGAAAAAAAGGAGCCAAGAATAAGAAGAACTTATCCTTTGACCAGATGGAACTTGTATCTGACCAAATAACTCTCCACTCCCTCCATTTTTGAAAATGGTAATGAGCTTCAAAGTAAATGAAAAATATACTGATTTAACATTTAGTTTTCCGATAACCTGCATGCTGAGAGATTGGAGACTCACTGATGTTTTAATGTCAAAAGGCTGAACATTGCATATTCTAACAAAGCCTTAGGTTTAGTTTATTTTATAATCTACAAAAAAGGAAGAAAGAAAATAAAAGGAAAGAAAGAGAGAAAGAAAGAAAGAAAGAAAGAAAGAAAGAAAGAAAGAAAGAAAGAAAGAAAGGAAGAAAGGAAGAAGAAAGAAAGAAAAGCAAAAAAGAAACCCTCCTTTGAAATGAAAGTTAGCTCCAAGCTGCTTACAATTGCCTTCTGCCTCTGCCTCTCCCTTTGCTTGGCCCTTTCAGATTCCCGCTTCTCATACTCTCTGCGGTATTCTTCCCTCTTCAGCCTTTCGTGCTGATATTCCTCGTAGCTGTCATACCTGAGAAACATAACTTCATCATTAAGTCAACCACCTCCAATGGCACGAGAAAAATAAATAATAAACTGGGGATGGCCAGGGTTTTAGATAACATCTTGTCATCTAAGGCCTGGGATGAGAGGAGCCCAGGGAAAATGACATGCATCATTACCTGGGCCTACGGCTATAGGGTGATCTTGAACGTGATCTTGAGCACAGGGGAGAATTTCGATGTGCACGGTGTCTGCAGTGGCTTGACTCATAGTAGTAGCAAGATCTAGGGAGAGGAGAAAAACAAAAAAAGCATTTACAACTCCCACTTAACCCCCGTTGATCAGCACAACTGAACATCCCCTGGAACAATGTATTACATAAACTGGCTTTTTCTTCCTGGAAACTAGTGAGATTTTCCCAGTGACAGTTTCTGATCATCTAGTCAGCTTAGAGATCTGGGAGGGATGTGTTCTCTCCAGCGTCTCTTATTGATGTTAACGCCAAGCGCCAGTCTGGTACACTGTCAGCTTTATCTTGCATGGATCTCAACTATCCTGGCACAGGGCAGCTCTCCAGGTAATGGAAAAAGTTAGATGAGCAAGTTTCTTACAAATTGCTCTCTCTCTGATCTGACTGGCTCAAGGCACTCTGCTCAAGGCTGACAGATTTAAGAAAAGATGAGGAACGATGTATGTGTGACAACAATCTCATTAGTTCTGTGGCACCCAGAATGCAGTGGTGAGGGGCTGGGTTGCCTGTGGGCTTGAATGTTTCTGTTTTTTTTTGGTCTCCCTTTCTTTCTTTCTTTCTTTTTCTTTCTTTCTTTCTTTCTTTCTTTCTTTCTTTCTTTCTTTCTTTCTTTCTTTCTTTCTTTCTTTTCTTTCTTTCCTTCCTTCCTTCCTTCCTTCCTTCCTTCCTTCCTTCCTTCCTTCCTTCCTTCCTTCTTCCTTCCTTCCTTCCTTTCTTCCTTCCTGGAAATGCCTTATGCTCTGGGTAGGCTGTGACAAGGTTTACCTTGAAGAGGATCTACTGCCTGGGGACCTTGATCTTGACCTGGAATATGGTGATCGGGAACACGACCTGTGTCGAGAAAAGGACCTTGACCGAGAGCGCATCCTTTGGGGTCTTTGAGAAAATAAGGATTTGGGTGGTGACACAGAATCTCTACATGGAGAGTTAAAAGAAGAGCAGGAAGGGGACACATCAAACAATGAATAGGACTGCGTGCCGTCCCAAGGGTAGTTCAGTTTATCACTTTCATCTTCGCTGTCATCAAACAGGCCATCCATGGCTAATCCTGAATTGATAAACATAGGTAGTTTGGAGAATTGTTCGTTACTGAAATCACTGTCCCTCAGTTCACTGGTCTTGTCTGCTTCGTCATCGAAAACAGCTTGACTGGGATGACCGAAGTGCTTGTTCAGCTCAGCTCGGATTTCCTGGTCTTGGAGCTGTTTCCTGGTGCTACAAGGAGAGACCTGCTTGCTCACCTCTGGAGTCTCTCTCATGTAGCACTTGTCTGAATCTGTGGAGGAACAAATATGCCCCTGCCAACTGGAGGGAGCATCTTTATATTCTAGTTGTCTAGAGTCTTGGAGCTCCTGTGATAAATTAATGAGTATTTCTGTTTTGGAATTGATAGACTGACAATAGTCATGGTCACCAAACAGCCGTAGACTGGGCCGCTTGGCCTTCCTTTCCTCGTGTCCGCTGGGGAGCACTGAGGTCTTGCTGAGCTGTGCATACAGCTCAGACTGCTCGGGCCCTTTCTTGGTGGAGTTGTTGCTTTGGGTAGCAGGACACTCACTGTACCGGGGCTTCTTTGATGGCGGAGGTACCACAGTCTTGCAAGAGGACTTCAGCTTTGGAGAAGCCCTGAAAGGGTTGTCTTGGTTGGTTTTATGAGGAGGAGTTGTGGGTGGAGTTAGGCCTAAGACAGGGAAAAAAAAAATAAAAAAAGGAGATAGGAAGAGAAAGAGAGAAAAGATAATGTTCTTACATGCCAGGATATGTTTTTCTAACATTTCTGAGATTTTAGACAATGGTTAAAACTGAGTGAAAAAGAAGGAAACTAAATTCATGACAACACCTGATAAAGGGGCTCCCTGCCCCTAAGCCTCTGTCACCAAGAAAAGATGGATCAGCCATGCCAGGCGGCTGTGCGTGATATTTGGTATTTTGAACACCAATGCTAACAGACCTACCTTTGAGAAAACATTAACGCATCCCTCCTGGCCTCCACGACACCAGGCATCACCAAAGGTTAGATTTGCAAGGGCATCGTGTCATCTGTATTATGGAAAATGAATGTGGTGGGGCTCAGGGGCTTTGCCAAATGGCTTTGGTAGCTTTTGTCTGCAAAGGATGCTGCTGAGGACCCAAGTGGTCCAGGGTGTTTTGTCCAATCATGAAAATCTACCCGTGGAGCCAAAGAGTTAGGTAACTTCAAAAAAAAAAAAAAAAAAAAAAGACAGAATGATGGCGAATGCAGGGATGACACAGGTGCCATTGACGAGAGTTCGGTAAAATACTACATTCGGATGCAGGGAACTAGACAACTCTACAACGTGATGGCTGCAATTCTTGGTCGCCACAGTTCATTAACTTAGTAAACCATGGCTAATGGAGGTATAATACATTCTTGTAAGCATAACTAATACATTCTGTCTAAAATATGGTTCTGCAACAGAAACCAAAGTGAACAGTAGCAGGAATTATTGCGGTGACGGGACCACTTCATTAGAGCAACTCATTAGGGCAGGTTATGAGGCCGAAGGATTGAAATCCAGGCTTCAGCAACTGATTTAAAAAATTTTTTTAAATAAAGGAAACAAGGGGAAAATCCACTAATTGTTGCCTTCTGTGGTTTTCTACAGGAAGGCAGAAAATTCCGTCAGGAGTCACTGTGAAGTCACTGAGGAGTCACTCCGTCGGGAGTCTGTGAAGGTGCCTCCATGAAGTTGCACCCCTGAGTAGGTGCTACTCCTCCCTTTGGACCAAGGAAGAAGAACTGTGACATGGCTTCTGAGTCCAAGAAGCTTTGAAGAAGGGAAGGCTGGAGTTCAGATGGCTTCATGCTTACAAGCGAACATTTTAGTTTACAGTACACTTTCTATTTAGGAAGATGGGTGAATGCTATTCAGCAAAAAAGAACTTTAAGCCTGCTAACACGCCTGGGGTTAGACTTAAGGCAACTGCACGTTTTAAGGAAAGGCAGAGAAATCTTACCTTGTTAGAAATAAATAAATAAATATATATGTATATTTATATTTATAGAGGGAAACCAAGTAGGTCACAGAAAGCCACATGAAATTTTGGTATGAACAGAAAGGTGCTGCCTCTCTCTTCTACTTTACAATGAACCGATGGAAAAAGTTGATATTTTTCCCTAAAATGAAATATTTTATGCCACTCTGGCAATTTTTATTATGCGTAACTAATCCTCCCTTAATGAGGAAAGAAAAGAAACAAAAATGCAAAGCGGTTTTCCTTTCAAAATCCACCCCAGAAAAGTTCATAAAGACAGGGAAACGCAAACACAAAGAGAACACAAACATCCAAGTCTCAAAAAAGCCTCCCTTCAGTAGCAGCCTACTGCATACCTACCCCTCTGTGCTAATAGATAATAAGGAGGTGACATATTATTGAATGAATCATCTCTGTCACTGAGGCAGACTCTCCTTTTTTCCCATGTCAAAAGACATGGACAAATATGTCTTTTACTCAACATGTGATCAATCTTCTCTCTTTTTTCTTGTTTTTCTTCTGCACTGCCAATATATACATACTGATTCCTACCACTACCTTCTATTACCATTACAACAAATTTAAACTAATGCCCAGCAAAGAAATGACAAGTTCTCAAATATTTCTCATAGGAATCTAATATTCTCAAAAAAATAATGATGAATAATCTCTTTGCTGAGTAAGTAACAAATATTCCAAATGACAGAGCCCTTGAATTGCAGGAGATGACATCAACATCCTAAAAGTCTAACCCCATAAATCTTTTCATGAAACCCCAAAATAAGGTAATTTCTACTTTTCCAATAAGTTATTGCCAGGCTCAATCACTTGATACTTATTATGTATAGATATATGGTTTGGTTTGTTCATTAGATTTCACATATGAGTGAAATCATATGGTATTTGTCTTTCTCTGACTTTCTTATTTCACTTAGCATAATGTTCTCCAGGTCCATCCATGCTGTCACAAAGGGTAAAATTTTCTTCTTTTTTTATGGCTGAGTAGTATTCCACTATGTAAATGTCCCATAGAGCAAAAAGAGAAAAGGACTCATGGACATGAACAACAGTGTGGTGATGGATGGGGGGCAGGGAGGTGTAAGGGGACTAAATGGTAATGGAAAAAATACAATAAAGATTAAATTTAAAAAATTAGATAAAACTATATGGTCTTGCTTCTCTTTTCTGAATATGAATTATGTCTTATCTCTTGAAGTAGATTATAAACTCTTAGCAGGATGTCACTTGAGCTTATTTTTGCAAACATTCGTACTCATTTTTGTTTTCATTTTTCTAGATCCTCCTTTGTTAGTTGATACCACATTTCAGTGTCCCAAAGATCACTTGGGAAGCTGGTTAAACATTTTTTAAATTTCTTTATTTCCTTCTTTCCTTCCTTCCTTCCTTCTTTCTTTCCTTCCTTCCTTCCTCCCTTTCCTTACAGAGGGGGGAGGGAAAGAGAAAGAGAGGGGGAGAAACAAAACATCAGTCTGCTGCCTCTCATACAAGCCCTGACCAGGGACAGAAACCACAACCCAGGTATGTGCCTCAATCAGGAATCGAACCCGCGACTTTCACTTTGAGGGATGACACTCTAACCAACTGAGCCACACCAGTCAGGGCTGGTTAAACATCTTTAATGAGATGATTCACAGAGCACATATGAAGAGTCACTGTCCTACAGATCCCATGTGGCACACTGCCTTCTACTCGGGTGCATGTATTTTGACAGATATTCTAGGCTTATGAAAAGAAACCCTAAACTTCAGAAACACCAAATTAGGCCACTATTAAAGAGAGACTAGTTCTATAAATAACTTAGCTATCTAGGGATTTTAAATATAGAAATTCTTTTTAGTCTTGAACATATGAAACCCTTGTCCTAGTACCTAAGCTCATTATCGCTTAAATAACTGATTCTCAAGTTGCTCTTGGGACTGGTGACACTCTGATTGTAGATTCTTTGAGGTAAAAACAGAGTCTTTCACCTCCTTCACATATTGGGCAGCCCGTGGCAACTGAACAGACAGTCACTGCACTCCTACTATGTGCTGGATGCCACCTATGCCAGCTGCTGGTGTTTCAGGGAATCAGCCCCAGGGAATTCACAGTTCTTTTTAAATTAAGAGACAAGTCTTTAACATTTGAACTAAGTATGTTTTCTTACATATACTCTTAAGATGTACAGAAGCTCTCTGAGAAAACCAAATATACCCTGGGAGTGAAATTATCAAGGCAGTACATTTCTGTAGGCACTACTTGTTAAAACAAATCAAGAACTCTTGCTTAGCGGATGGAAGTTACTTTAGGATTACTGAGTAGGTGGGTCTGGGGAAATAATTCAGATAATTCCCTAAACTTTTTTACTGTTTACTGAAACATCTTTAATCAGAGAGTACCTTCAAGCAAGACTGAGAAATCTCAAGAATCATAAGACCTCGAACCACCAGTGCCTAATTGAAAATCTATTTCCAGAGATAGTTGAGACCCAAAGCAAAACAACAGTGTAAGAAGAATTTTTTTTTTCTTTTAACAGTGTCAAACTTTTAAGAGCTGCTGATGGGACAGGGGACCCCTTGCTGCACCCAAACTAATTGGATTTCTCTAACCCCATCTCTCCTACCCAGATTTTTTCCCCTGCGGCAGGAGGGCAGTCAATACCAATTCCTTAATGCCACTACCTTTGCTCATCTTTCCACTAATCACCAGACCCTCAATTTCATCTCACAAGCCTAAACCAACAGTGCTAATGCCTCCCATAACCTCCGGATTATTTCCTGTGTGTTGATTTTTCTGGGGAATGTGTACATTTTGGTGTTGACAGTACAAGGTATATTCCATGCTCTCTCTTGAACTTAGCTGGTTTTGACAGATTTATGGGAGGACAGATGGCCATTACAGGCTGAAGGCTGACAAGAGGCAGTTCAGAGCATTGTTAACACACTTGCACAAACTCTCAGCAGTGCAGCTCTGTGCAGAATGTAATTCAGACTATAGCTTTTTTATTGCTGCCTATTTTCTTTTGTCAAAAGAGCCTGCTGTGCAGAGCAACAAATGGCTGCTATTACCCAGAATGTAATGGGTGTCAGACAAATCACGTAACACAAACAATCAAGAGTATGTAGGTCATATTTCAACAGAGCACAACCTTAGCAATATTTATGATTACTGCATTGAAATGTGCTCTATAATAAACAAGTACCTCTACATCACTCACACTTATGCACTTCTGCACAGCAAATCTGGGAGAAGTGGTACACACTCTACAGTCATCTTTTTAAACAGCCCTTTTATTTAAAAAAAAAAAAGTCAGAGACAAGTTTTGTTTTGTTTTGTTTTTCATTATGTGTGTGCTATAAAACGATTTTCTTGGAGGAGTTCTCTTTGGGTTTCTTTGTTTAATTGAATGACTCTGGTAAATGGTGAGTCCTCTGCTCTGTCTTCTGTGCTCCACTATCCACCCAATGACTTCAGGAGGATCTTTATTTTAATAGTTTATAACATTTTACAGAACCTCCTGCTAAAGCTGTAACTTGCTTTGGAGTTTACTTGACAGTGAGATTTTTCTTCTGTCACATGCCGATTCAGATATTGCTTAAGGAAAAACAACAAGAAGTTGAGATTATAATATGTGTAAAAACTCAACAGAAAAGGAGGACTGGGCCAAGAAAGGGGTGTGACTTG